GTTCTTTTCAAGTTCAGGAATTTTAAACACAACCATCGTTTTAAAGTTCTGTCCACGGATCACAAAAACGGTGTGCGTTCCTTAAGTAAAACGAGAATAATTCACTCACATCCCGTGTTTTGTTTTTGTCTTAATGAAAGAACAAATACCATTTTGTGATCCGTTTCGGATTTCGTTTTTTTTTTTACCCACCCTGTACAGTGAGTAATTGGCAGGGCGGTTTCGGGCGCTGCAGTGACTAAGGTCTTTGGTAATCCGAATGTAATTTCACTTAACAGTGCACAATGTATATGGAGGATGGTGGTCAAAGAACAATTGTAAGCTGACCGCTCTCTCAGATGCAACTATGTGACAGTTAAATGTTCATTGTGTACAACTTTTGTAAAAAGAAAATGTTTTTATGAATAACCATCATTTTTTATACGCCTGTATATTAAGATTTGATTGGCATTAATGTTGCCTTATAATCACTGTTTGTTTTTGTAATCCAAGGGTAATTACTTCAAAAAAGAAATCATGAAAACAAACCATTACTAGTAACTGGTTGATTACTGTGGCCGGTTATACAAAGTGGCAAGCCGGGTCGGCTGTCTCGCCGGTTGACTAGAAAAGACGCCTGCACTAGCAAACAAGAGGTTGTGGCTCGAGTCCAACTAATTATTATTGATAACCTTGTTTTGTTTTCGTAATTGACAAAAACACTCGGTCGGCACCGAGTGAGCAGTACTTGACGTACGTCATCGAAGGCCAATACTCAATATCAAAACTAGAACATTTTCAAATTTAGCAAAATATCAAAAATTAAACTAGCAAAATATCAAAAATTATTATATGACAGATTTGTTAACTACATGCACAGGGTTTTAGAATAAACAGCCAACGTGGATATTTCTGGTTATTCCAGAAAGAGGATTGCGCAAACACAATCTGAATTTTCCCCAGCGCTTCCAATATTTGGAAAATCCGAACATGGTCCACTGCAAGTTTCTATTGTGCATGCATTTAAGTCCTTCATTTTTGTATTCCTCATATACATGTACATTATCGGACGGTAGTCAGTAAGCAATCACTATAAACGTACGCTGTTGATGAAGGGCAATACTCATTACTGAAAGTAGGGTATTATCATATTTTTCAGCAAAATATCAAAAATATTATGAATTTTCTTTTAAATAAATGATATAATACATTTAACTGCTGACGGGAATTGTACAATTTACTTTGGAGAGAAGATTGCGTAAAACATGTTGGTTTTTCCCGAACTCGTCCAAGTTTTAGGAAAACCCGATCACGGTTCACCGCACATTCTCTACGCATGCGCATTTTTCGTCTTTCAAAGTTATTTGTAATAAGAGGAAATATATATATATTTTTGGTAAATAATATCTGTGGCTTCAGTGAATGTTGAAGTTACCTTGGTCTTGGGTGAACAATTTGTATTGCTGTTTTGAACTTAGAAACCCCCCCCCCCACTTCCTACGGCGAAAAATCAGAAGTGGGCAAATAAAAAAAATAGTGTTTTTCTTTAACAATTGGTCAATATTTTTTCTTTGGATACAGTATTTGGAAAGTCCCTCTTCGTTCCCATGTCGCACTAATTAATATACACCCGGTGGAAGGACATTGATGATCTGCGTGAAATCAAACAAAATGACTTGACAAACCACATTCTGAGTTGAATCAGGTGCATTCCAACAACTAGTTTAGCATTTATATCTTATCGTCACTTTGGAAAACATGTTTAGAAGCTGAATATTGCTTGTTTAATTTCTAAACATCCATGTTCAATCACTAACACTATACCCATCAATACTTCAAACACGTTTAGTATCCAAATAATATATTTCAAGGTGATAGCAGGAATGCCTATAAGAAAAGTGTTTAATTGGCTAGTTTTTGAAGTGTGTTGACAAAGACCAATTCGTTATTGTTTACTGGAAACTCGATTTATATCAACTAAATGGAAATATTAGGCTATTACACAAAGCTTATTACACATATTTGATAAGAACAATCAATTGGAGATTTACTGTTCTATCAATAAAATGTTGTCACAAGTGAGCAATTATTTTATCGATTTTTAGTTTCTTAACTGTTCTTTTTTTTGTTCGGGGTTGGTTGGTTTTTCTTATATAAATACTTGTATAAACATGCCATTAAAAACAGGTAATTCATAAAAACAATTAGCTAATATGTAACAGTCAGTGGCGTAGCCACGGGGGGCGTGGGGGGGGGGACAGCCCCCCATGAAACTTTGTCGCCCCCCAAGTCGCCCCCCCCCCCACTGAGATTTTGAGCTTCTAAAAAACGCCCCCCCCCCCATGAAATGTTCCAGCCCCCCCTCCCCCAGCGCCCCCGCCACTGGTAACAGTAAAGAACTTGAAAACCAAATGTCAAAGTGGTTACATCTTAAAAGGTGGTTCATCACATTTGCATTGGTACCTTAGTTGCATCTCGTCGGTCACGGATGAGCAAGCACCATTGATTTCAAACAAAGGCCTCAAACATCTGTTTTAAAGTTTGCTAAATTTAATTGGTTAATTCAGTTGTCTGATAAACACGCAGTTGCTGCGGACAGTGCGCTAAAATGGGTATTTTAGAGATGTTGGTGCATAAAATGGTACATAATATTTAATGTTGTCCATGAATGATTGATCGTTCCATAGATTTTGTGTATCATCACAAGGCCAACACCTACTTTTTTTCAAGTTCACCTTGATTCAGTGGTACATTGAGCTATCCAAAAAAGTGCGCAGTCGCAGGAGATCATGTGTTAAATGGGCAAGAAAAACATATGGAAAGTGTTTTAGCATTAATAACATATCATGTTTCATAATTACATCATTATTGTTTCAAATATTTCAAATATTTTGTTGTTAAACTAAAAAGTACCTTAGGCAAAAGATGCACTAAAACATATCTTTGGCGTTGGCACAACTTGGCATGGTTTTGGCTATGCCAATTGCAAGCAATGTTTGAAATATTGCTTGAAAATGAAATGCTAGTTTGTGATGAAAAAACAAAATCGTAGGAATGATTTTTTTATAGGCAACATGATGTACCATGCTTAAGCAGCAATGTCTCCAACATACTCCTTTTAACGCACTTTCACCAGCTTAACACACAGCTTAACTCACCACTTATTCAGAAAGCTTGGAAAATGAGGTTTTTCAGACTGTTTTGAAATCAATGGAACTCAGTCATCCATGACTAAAGATATGCAAATAAGGTAACAGTTAGAGCTAATGGATCATACTTAAAGATGCAGCAACTTTGACATTTGTCAAGTCTATTATTGTGTACATAATAGCCAATTATTTTTGGATAACCTTTTTTTATACACCCTGTATATTTTATAACATCAACGTTTTGTTAAAATATTCAAGTTAAACCTTTGGAAATAATTTTGTCTTTTTTGCGGGGTCTCTGTCCCTCCTTTCAGCCATTCATCTAGCCGCTTGCAAATCAATTCGTCAAGATTTGGTGATTAATAATGCAAAACATTAAGAATGCATCTTGCCCTTAAGATTTTGACCTTTCGTGGGCACCTTCTGTTAAGCCATCGGTCACCCGTTGTTGTATGGCACCAACTTGGTCAATAAGCTTCGCCAAATATTTCTGCTCGAAATTAGGTCACATTTTGTAAAGTTCACTCCAATTGGCTGGCGCGCGGGTTGGCATAAAATACGTATGTTCTTTATCAAGCGTTCATGAGTTGGACATGTACATGTATTGTTTGCCTTAAAATTATGGATATACCGCAGTTTCCACAGTGCACAATTTGGATATCCCCAAAGTAAAGCGTACAATTTCTGAAAAAATTATATTCAATAATTTTGAAAAAAAACCCCACAATTATTATAATGCATGCTCCCGCAGATAATACATATCTTGTAATGGACCAAGATTAGCACTAAATGAGTGACTACGGCCTGCACGTATACACAAATTTAATCAAACATAATATTCGGTGGTGTGTAATAGCCCTCTGGTGTGTAATAGCCCTCTGGTGTATACATCTAGTAAATTTAAATGAGTAAATAAAAGATATATATATATATACAAAAGTATTACTACAGTGTAGCTGCGATTCTTACATCACAAACTTAGAAGCAAAATGTTTGTAACACATGTTTCATTCGCTGTGGGGTAGGGTTGTTTTCCGATCCACGTAATAAGTATATACCTATTTCTCCACCACTTAAAATACTCTAGAACACACATTTATTGGATACAATCATCTTAATATTTCAAATATGTGTGTATGTTTGGCACATTTACTCAAAAAAATTAGACTTTTAGCTTATAAGTCTGTCGATAAAAAGGGCAAATAAAATGAATGCTAATTAGTGTGGATTTGGTTGGTGTTACTTTCCTGAGGCAAACAAGTACATGTATACGAAATTATACTCCAGCTAAGGATAAATCCGCAGCTTTTAGATGTTTATATGTTGACCCATGGAACTAAAGACCTGCAAGCGTAGCAGTTAGCAAGCCAGCGGAGGGTACATGTTGCGCTCGTTGTACTTGTTTAGGATATTTAAGTTTACGTTTCATCATCTTATTTTGTTCCCCTTGCTTTTTAGAGATTTAGATACACAAGAGAAGCTACGTCATTTTAATATTTAAAGTCATTAACCCTAAAGGGGACGGAGTGGAATCCGCCCCCCCCTCACCTTTTTCTGCGATAGCGTTAACAATTTTCTTTCGCAACCCAAGCTGTTATGACTTTTTAGCCTCGAGCCTTGCGCATCTTTTGAAACAAAAACATACAAATCGAACCACGGCTTGCCCACAGCATAAAGGTTGCAAACTGAATTTTCCAATCATATACGTAGTGTACACGGACCAGTAATTATTCGTGCATATGACTAATTAATTAGTCTTTATTCCAAAACCGTTTCCCTACAGTCATGAATTTCTTGGGTATGTTAATGAAACCGAGTTTCAAAAATTGTCGTCACTTGATGGCTGAGATATGGGGGGGGGGGGGCGGAATCTGCCTGAGAGATGGTCAAAATAACCCGGCCTTTTTCTGGGTTAAGGTGTCGCCCCTTCATCGACCTCTCGTCTCCTCGCCGAAGGTTTAGGTTGATAGCTGTATTTCGCCAGGTGTTTCGCCCCCGGGTCAAAGGCCACGAAGCACCCGTCAGTGACCACCGCCAGCTTGGTGTAGATGTAGTCCGTTCGGAACTCCTTGACCTTAGCCACCTCCATGAGATCGTGGCTGAACTCCAAGACCAGGATGCCATGCAGCATGGAGACGATCAGAGCTCCCTCTGGGGTCGAAGCCACAGCCAGCTGGCAGGATTCGGTTGGGGATTCCAAGATGGAGATCAGGGCGCCTGTCATGGTGTACCGTAGTATCCTGTTGGGCTCTGAGTGCGTAACCACGAGGAGGTTCTGGTTATGATCCACGCAGACGTTGTTGATCCCCCTGGCAAGTGCGCCCTCCGGCAGCTGAATCCGACCCATGACCTCGCTCTTTGGCTGATAGATGAACAACTCCTGTGATTGGCTGTCCCCGACGATCACGTGACCTTCTCTGGACAGAGCGAGGTTGGCTGGTTTTCTGTTGTCAGTAGCACATTTCCATCTAATGAAATAAATAATTGATTATGAAATAGGCAAAAAAAAAAAAAAAAAAAAAAAAAAAACACACACACACACAGCTGAGTCTGCAATGGCGTATCCGGAGGTCAGCAAGTACATAACAAGAGCTACTAACATGCCAAAATAAACAAAAACATGAAAAGCAAAACTAAATCACATTAACCAAGGACAAAATGTAACAGCAAATTTTCAAGGGCAACTTTACAGAGGGGAGTTAATTGAAAAAAAACTCAACAACTTACTTGCTTACGATGGATCCCTGGATGTTGTAGGTCAGGACGAGTTTCAAGTCCGACACCAGCAGCACCAGTTGTCGCGCGTTGTTGACGGCAATCTGCGAGGATTTCTTGCAGAGGGATTCACCAATGGCCCACTCAGACATGAAACTGCCGTCGTCACTCTCAAACATGCAAACTCTGCCGCCCTTTTTCATGTCCACGACGTATACAGTGTGGCTGCAACATGAACAAACAATTGAACGAAACTGCTTTCCTTGATTATCCATACGTATTGGGGTCAGACATTCTTAATGTCGCTCCTAATTTGAATTATCTCTATTATTTTGTTTTAATGAGAGTTGCCCGTGTCAAGGCCCTGAAGGACCACTCAAGGAGAGGGCTGCACAGTGAGGAGACAGGAATGAAAGCCCAAAAAAGAAACACACATTCGAAAAAGAGGTAATGTACAGTACAAGTAAAAACTATTGCTTTCTTTCCTCCGCAGGACAAACTGTCAAATGAAATTTGCGTCAGGGAACATACAATTTTTGTTTTGTTTTGATTTTTTATAAGTTACCTTTAGCAACATACGGCAGCATTTTTCTTTCTTCCTTTGATTTTATTCATGGTCAATTTATCTGAAATTCAACTTGTGATCAATAAATGAAAAAAACAAGGACCCTTTTTCCCCCTCATAATTCTTCCTTCATGATTTTATTCATGGTCAGCCTATCTGAAAATTCAACTTGTGATCAATAAATGAAAAAACCAAGGACCCCTTTTCCCCCTCATACTTTACAAATAGGGTTTCAGCATAAATCGTGAAAATCATCACGGAGTTTTTTTTTCGAGAAATAGTTTGGTCCATGTTCAATGTTTAAAACTTTATTATTTGAAAGATTTGAAAGCTTAGAAATAACAGAAAGAAAGAAATAGAAAAACGCATATCATAGAAGTTGCCACTGCTACATTTTTTCAATGTTTTTTTCCGATCTTGTCGGCAATGCTTCCTTAAGCTGAAAATTTTACGATTTTTACGATTATTGCATTTGTATTCCATTCTCCAATTCACATACATTTGGAACTCTATACGCCTTCACAAGGAAACATAAACATGTTAAAGCAATAATGGAAACAAAATTTGCCGAAAAAGTTGTGCACTTGATTCAAAACACACCTGTTGGTGTCCACATCCAAGCCCGTCGGTTTCTCGAAACCGGTTGGAGGATCTTCGAATGGTAGGCTGTCCACCACTGAGATCTCAAGCGGGGATTTGACCGGGTTCCCACAGATAGTGATGCTGACGAAATGTAGCTTGACTGAACGGGGTGTGATAGTTACTGTATGGCTGCACACAAACAAGGGACAAATCATGAAACAAGATCAGGCCAAGAATCACTTTTCTGCAGCCGAGATCGTCGCAATCTGGTCCCTACTCTCACATGTACCCATATATAATCCTGGGTTGGGAGAGGCAATTGTTGTAAAATAGCTTGCCCAAGGAGACATTATGTTTTCCACCAGGTTTCGATCACATGTACAATGGCACGTGGATCAAACATCGTAACCACTGAACCAAGGCGCTTTGGAATGAGAAGAGGGTGAGCTATACGTGAAATAATTATTCATTTGTCATGAAGCTTAAAACAAGCAGAAGAGGCATGAGAGACATAAAATATAAACGAATGCTAACATTCAAAATGGGGTCATGTTAATTAACGAGCCCCACAATCATCAGGGGAAAATAATTTATTTCGCAAGGCCGAGATATAATGAAGGAAACTAATTCGTACCTGCCATCTCGGTTGTCGGTGAAACAATGACGCTGTAGTGATTCAGATGACCCAGAAATTGTTACGGAAGCCGTGATATTATATCCTCCAGTGGTCAGCCGTTCTCCGTGATGATCGCAGGTCAGGAGTGTCAGTTTGAATGGCATGTCAAGGACAGCGGTGTTAGGTTGGCACTTTCCAAGTTGATGAGATGACACAATGGTTGAGTCTGGATGCAGTGGGTTTACGTTGATGACAAAGGGGCTATTGGCGATGGGCTGACCGTTCATGAAGACAGACATAATTAGCTTACCGGCATCCGGCGGTGTGTAGACGATACGGAAGGTTTGACTGTCGTTGGTTTCCACAATCTGCGCTTCAGTCTCGTTGGACGCAGTGAGCTTATCCGGGATCGCATATCCAGTGTCTTCTTGGTCCTGGTTCCAAGGCATGGAATACCAGGCGCTCAAATTGTTAACACGCGGAAGACGATGCTCAGGGGCTTGGAACTTGACGGTGATTTTATGCTCGCATTGCACGAAGGCGTCCGTCCATGTCAAGTCACTGCAGACCTCGTCTTGCGATTGCTCAGCTTGGCCATCGTCGACTGGTGAGGACGTGGTGTCGACAACGACAACTGGAAACGGACTGCCGGTGATAGGCACTCCAGACACGCTGATGTTCAGCTGATGAGGTCCTGCTACCAACGGCCGGAACTGTAACTCGTAGAATTCACCGCATTGCTCGCCGTTTACGCACTCTACTGTGCTACCGTCTGGTGATTGCAAGTACGCCCCGAGACAACCGCTAAGACTCTCAAGGGATGGGCTGGACGGATCAACTGAAGATATGCGAACTTTATGCGTAGCCTTGACAGGTAGGGTTGATCCGACATCATCCGGGAAGTCTATCGTGAACATCAGCTTCGTAACAGTACCCCCAGTGCACGCGTCGAGACAACCTAAGCTAGGGAGGAGTTTCTCAAATTCCTCCAACACCTGATTGTGATCACTTTTCAAAGATAGGAATGCCTTACCGGCTGGTTGGAATGACTCAGACGCGTTGATGTCGTAAGCAATTAGTTCATGGAGCCTTGAGATAATCTGTCCCCTGGTTCCAAGAAGGTCCACGGCGTTCCCAATTTCGCAGGATCGCTCGGCAAACTGGCTGGCGGACTCGAACTGAGACACTAAGGACCTTGCGTTGCTTCCCAGATGACGAAGATGTTGTATCCGCTCTTCGGCTCGTTTCTCCAGCTCGGAAATGACCTCATCATTCCTATTCTGAAGCTTCGTGTGTAGTTCACCAAACATCTTGGAGATCTTGGTCGACATCTTTGCCTTTCGATCCCGGGTCTCGCTAATCTCGGACTCGATTCTCTCTGAGATTTCCTTGACAGGAGCAGTCTTCTCGCCCACCGCCTGGGCAAGACTCTGCAACTCCTCCTTCACCTCCGACGATTTTTGATCTAGATCGACGACACGATGACCCTGGTGGGCCGTCGGTACACACACCAGACATAATGGCCGTTGGCAACCCTCCTCGTTGCAGAACACGGTCAAGTCGTGCTTGTGCAGCTCGCACTGAATCTTGTGACGGTGAAGCAGAATCTCAGGCTGCTTTTGCAGATCCTCTATTGCGCACACTGCGTGGTCGTCGAATTTACGCATCGTGCGGTGTGCCTGGTCGCAGGTGTGGCACAGGAAAGTCACGCAGTCGGCGTGCGAGCAGAAACTAACAGCCGGGCCTCCGTCTGAGATACACGACCCACAGTGGAGACCGTGGGGTCTGGTCACATTCACATCAAGCAGGTGTTCTAGGTCCTTGAGTTGCCCCGCGATGAAGTTATCAGGGAAACCCTGCACACCGTTCTCAGGAACCGGGGTATCCCGTCGACATTCCGGGCACTTGAACTGCGGCTCATCCCGGGCCAGACCTGCCAGACAAACCACGCAGAACCCGTGCATACACGGCAGAAATTTGGCAAACCTGGTCGAACCATCGTACATCTCGAAACATATCCGGCACGTCAATAAATCCTTAAGTACTTCTCGCGTTATTCCAAATAAAGATCGCTGCGCCATTGAGTTGATTTTATGGAGCAAGTACCAGGAGTCAAGAACTGAATTTGGCGTGTGACCGGAATGTAGTGATGATATCACATCGGCACAGCCAAGGCACTATATATTCATACGAACATTCATCAGCAAAGCACGAGCACAGTCACTAGTACATTTATTCGACATCAACCGTTTCCTGAACCTCAGAACCCCAAAACAACTTTGAATAACAATTGTACCATGGCGAAGCTTTCTTTTCGTTGCGTGTTCACAATAGTACATTTCAGTGAATCGGCCTTGACATGAAAGTGGGGCCACAACAGGGAATTTTGTATATTATGTGTATCACAGGGTTGCAAGGTGAAATTTTGATCCTTTTTGGAAACTAAGACAACATGCTTAAAGTTTCACCTTTAGTATTGAGGAGTTTCACATAATGTCATAGGTCAGTGGTCACCCACACGCAAGCCATATTGGAAGCTAACAGTTGCAAACTAGTAAATGATTTGACATAGACCGTTGTGATAAATACGCCCACTACCAAATTCAGGAAAATTTCGCACAGTTCTCCTCTGTGTTTGAAACACATATCAAGCGTATTTCATCATATTTCATTTTGTGTTCAGTTATTGGGAGGTTAATCAAAGACAATTGAGAGAACAATCAGGTTTTGATTGTGACAAATACCGCAGAACAAAAGTTATGCATAATGCAATGTACATTGTACATGTAATGTACGTCCAAAATGGCGGAACTTGCACCGTTCACGTGATAATGTCATATATATGCAAATACTCAATGAAGTGATTGAACACCACTGACAGAATAATTCTGGGTAGAATGGGCATGCACCACTAACACGATATGCATGTTATTCAATTCTCGGCTTTGTCCGGGTTTCGGCTTTTTTTGCAAAAATATTTACAATGCGTTTAATTATCCAATTACATGCAATACGCCATCACTTTTTTAGGATTTTATTTCTTAATCATAAAAAGGAGCATGCATTGACAAGTTTCTCATTTGATTAACTTTTGTTCACACTGCAAATAGTCTTTTTAGCCTCAGTCCCCAAAGTCAAGGCCCGAACATTCTCAAAAGGCCAGCCCAATTACGAAATTGAGTTTTGGAAAGCCCCGTCGGGACACTGTTGGTGCCAAATCAGGTTCGGTTTCTGTTTAGCGCTCTGCGCATACTCCATTCTATTCCAGTCCCGTGACGTTATGACTCGGTGGCGAAATGCATTGCAATGTGTGTAGGATCTCTGACACAAACATGTACTGACATCACGTTCACGTCCTCATTTGGCATGTGACTGCCTCTGACGAGGTAGATGTCTGTTGGAAAACAATTTCACGACATGTTTTGAACTGGATATTGTGCAAATCATCACTGACCACCAGGACATAACAGTAGGAATTAATGATCTGGACAAGTTTAGGACAATGGCCGAAGCCCCGCCATGGTTGAATGCCATCAGTCAAAACACTGGTAAGCTCAGAATCCATTTCTTTAAAGTCAAAGTGTTGTGTTGTTTTTTTTCCCGTCAGGAACTTTGCATGCGCAGTGATTTTTTAAGGTTGTGTTGAGTGAGAATCCAGTCCTACCGGCGTAAACCTGAATTGTTTATTGTTTTATGCCCCCGAATAGTACTGAATTACGGGTCTTAAAATGTGTTGATGAAAAGTGAAACCCATTCTAACAACTGCATTCACCTCGCAGCAAAAATCCATACCGGTATTACTTGTCATGCTTTGCTTGTGTCTTCTTGCCCCCAACCGATACTCGTGAGTATTTTGTTTCAAATTGTTGACAGGAATGCTACCAGTCAAGGGACAGATGACTTACAAGGATCCGGTAACTGGTCTCGAGTACAAGATCAAGGTGAAAGACCCCTCGGCCGGAAGGTTTCGCAGGAAGAAAAAGAAAAAAGAGCGTTCAGTTTCCGACTGCTATGAATACCTGGATAGACCGCTTCCAACAGTGCCAAGAAATGCCGGATCCCGTACCACCGATGATATAGAACCATTGGAGCTGGACTCGAACAGCGACTTCGAAGATCCTGTTTACCAGCCGTTCCCCGCAGTGGAGGATCAAGGGTTGGTTGATGGTGCTCCCAAACCAGGCCAACGCGTCACCTGCTCAGGCCCGGAAAACAGGGCCCCGGTTTACGGTAACGTAAATCCAGATGACAGGTGGAGTCCAGCCGCTGTGGGAGATGCACCAGAACCGATGTACGACTCCCTACCGGAGTCCAACTGCCTCGGTGACTCGGATAACGACAGCTACGGCAAGGAGTCGGATGAGGTGTACGTGAGACTGAAAGCCGTGCAAAAACAGCAAATGATGTTGAAGGATTGTCCCACTAGCGAATGAGTGTGAGAACAGTCCACGTTATTTTTTTTCCCCGTACAATCACTGAGAAGTCCAATATTCTTTCTTCACCATGTTGATAGGAATCGACTATGGTTGTACAGTTTGAACCCGATATAGATCATCAACTTTAATCGAAAACCCAAAAGGAACTTTAAAGATCAATGATGTAAATGTTGTATCCTATTTTTGTGCACACACGTCTCGAAAGATACTTTAACATTATGATGCAATTATATGGAGATCAGTCCAGATATAATATCACGAGGCTTATCTGTGTAACTCTGTGATCCTAAAATGATAGCTACAGAAAAGAGTTTGACAAAGTGTTCACGACCATCACTAATTATCGCGTGCATTGCCATTAAATGACGTAACTAGTGTCCTGAGGTACTTTGAGCTTCATTTTCTTGAGGTGCCACAAGCACCCTATGCAACCTGTCAAAATTTCAAGAATATAAATCTATCAATTTCGGTCTCTTGTTAGAATGTGACAAAGATGTCACATCTTGTTTACATGTGCGTCTTTTCAGGGGGAGCAGTAGGGACGAGAACCACCAAGCTCCCGTAATTGTTATCTTTGTGCATATTTTCTGAGTCGGGGTCTTGGAAGAGACAGATGCCATGTTGAATGGCCTGTGGGAATGCATGATAACTGATTGCGTACATCCAAATACCCTAGGGTCGTCCACGAAAAGGTACCATCAACTCTTCTATGCCCCCCCCCCCGCCCCGTCATGAAAAGCATGACCGTGGCAGTGAACTTTATCATTCTAGTGTAATAAAAGTAAACATGTTTTACGCTTGTATAATATTGCTGATTGAAGAAAAAAATGTTGTTCATACAATATTTGAGAAATTAATAACTCATATTTGAATATAGGTGGTTTGTATTTTGTTTTAAATATAAAACTTAAGTAAGATTATCAATCAAGTGCTTATATAGCTAATTGTCTCCACTATTGGATTGTTAAAAAGTACTTTATAGGATTTGTCATGTTCTAGTATGCAGAGGGCTTGGACTGATCAGAACTTTCACTGACATTGGTTTGAGTGCTTCGCATTTTTTTTATTTTGTTCTGATGACAGTTTCCGTCAAGGTAAACACGGTATTTTTTGGTTTTGGTTTAGCGGTAAAGTTCTTATATTTTGAGGAGTAATTCCAAATATGTAAAACAAAAATACTTTATATAATGATCGTTCTGTAAATCGTGGGTGTGAACTTCCAATGCCATTATTAGTGAAAAGAGTTAAACAAAAAGTTGAAGCTGACAAATGACATCCTTCTGTACGCTCTCCTTGTGATAGAAACAAGTCTAGATTCTTACCAATTCCAGTAAAGCAGTCTCTTATATCACTATTTCGTCGCAAATAAAATGTTGTAAAGTGAAGAGTTATTGAAATGTATACATGAAGCTCTGCGAAAATTATGTAAAGACAAAAAAAATCATCAAGGCCCTAATACTTGAAAAAAATACCAAATGTATACTGTTATAATTTCCCTGGAATGTTTGAAAACAACACTTGGAAAAGTCCTCTTTGTCCTAAACTCAAGTATAAAGCTCCAGATGTGTACCTAGCACCATTATACTCCAAGCGAAAATGGAGGAATAACGATTGGAATTGTTGTTTAAATCGAAAAAAAGAATGACTTCGTGCCATTGTCTGCGGTGCCATTGTCTGCGGTGTCGCAACAATAGTCGGTGGTTCGCGGACTTACCGTCAGAAGTAAAATTTGCTAGCAGCTCCGATCAGATCAGAGAAATTTAGGGAGCCGCTTTTATATCAATCTAAGTCAAGACACATACCCCACATGGATATAAACTACCCCGTTAGGTTGAAAAGCATTTGGGCGAATATGACATAATTTCGAGCTGACTGCAGATTAAAAATATAAAAGATTAATTTAGTACACGTCCTTAGTCTCATACTGTTTTCTCATTGTTTGCCAGTACCACCTTTCCATGAAACCATTCTTTGGGGAAATATACATTTTTTGTCTCGGTCCTTTCGATTTTGTTTTGCTAGTAGATAATCCAATTTTTCTGTTTATTCATGCCATTATACTCATCGATGGGGTCCCTGTTCACTTGTGTTTTATGAAATTTTAATAAAACTTAATTGGATCAGAAATGCCTGTAGGTACCTCCTGGGTTCGTCTATGTATTTCGTTCTTTAAGTACAGTAAGAATCATCAATAACAACGAAGATTATTTGTTAACGTATTATGCCAATTTTCATCGAATATATGCAAATTTGGTATCAAAATAATAAGAATTGCATGCTCAAATCAACTCTTTTGATCCAAAATTGTTTGCCAGTACCACCTTTCCATGAAACCATTCTTTGGGGAAATATACATTTTTTGTCTCGGTCCTTTCGATTTTGTTTTGCTAGTAGATAATCCAATATTTCTGTTTATTCATGCCATTATACTCGTCGATGAGGAGGTACCTGTTCACTTGTGTTTTATGAAATCGTAATAAAACTTAATTGGATCAGAAATGCATGTAAGTACCTCCTGGGTTCGTCTATGTATTGCGTTCTTTAAGTACAGTAAGAATCCTCAATAACAACGAAGATTATTCGTTAACGTATTTTACAATAAAGTTGAAGTTTGTCCAAAGTTTCTCAAATTATCACTTGTATTACTTTATTATCTTTTACTTAGGTAATTTCAAGTTGTAGTTAAGTTTCAACTTACGTCCTTAGATACACTTGTCTAAAAGCGAGAACTATTTTTGTCTGAAGTAACAATCATTTATTGTTTAATGTTGCCTATCTGTTATCCTTCAACGGGCTGGGAAACCACAGGGAAAGTCCCGCCATTGCGAAAGCAAATTTCTGTCATTGTGCGATAAGAATGGGCTTAAACTTCAGTCAACACAGAGGAGTACTGGGTCACAAGTACGTACCAGGTTGTACGTACCTGCTCTCTCAACCTATTGGATCGTATGCATGTAAATATTGCACACATTTGCAAATGAGGAATAGTCTTGTGCCTGGCTGTGCGTTACATCAGCGTATGCGTTCGTATGTGGTGTCTGGGGTAAACACAGAGTCAATTTATCGCGGCGCGAGTTAAAAAAATCACGATGTTGTTTACAGTTAAAATGTTACAATCTTATCCAGCCTATGGGCAGTATCACCTTGCATATCAATATGAACAAATTGAAAAGGAAAACATTTTTTCAGAGGTTGTGGACGAAAGAATTACAATGAACGTGAAAACACGCAGTACACGTTGGAGACAACCACACCAAGTACACGATATAAATCGATTCCCTGCAAATTGCGGTACCGACTCAGGATAAAGAAGCAAGTTCCCATCCCAGGGCTTAATGTTGGAAACGAGGTTGGAAACAGTGTAAGTTTTGGCGACGAGGTTGGGTCTTTGCTATTCTGTGATACGCATGAATCGATATTTTTTTTCTCTTCAAAACAGCGACCCTCAGTGAAGGCACAATCAAGCCAGGGATGCATGGTTATATTAAACATGCATCGATATATATATTTTTCATATCAAGTAATCGTGCACCGCGACACAAGTCGAAATGCCATTCCCATAGGTAAGCAAAGGCAAAAGAACCGTTCAATTCCATACAAAGTTCAGGCTTGACGTCTAAAAAGCGGACAAAATGTAAAAGGAGAACGAAACAAAATAATTGGCCTTTTGCTTTTCGGTCATGATTGTATCAGCACAGGGCCATGCCGGTTTGTCAATAATGATTAAAAGGAGCGATCTATACTGTTGTAACGATATACACTGTCGTAAATTGTAGTCGAAAGTCAGTTTTAACATAGAGCTATTAAAAGGCTTGCCCAAATTACGAATGTCGGTAAATCGGTTTGTAACATGAGAGGCAAAAGGTTTCGTTTGGAGTTCGTAAGAAAGCATGTGTTTTACAACGACAGTTAAAGCTTGTCCACCCTCGCCAACAAAGTACAGGGTGAGTCAAGAAAAAAAATCGGAAACCAAACCCCCAAAATTATATTTTATATTTAAAAAATACGTAGCAACAAATATAATAATTACTGGAAAGCCAACTTCATAAGATACTTTAGGATGAAAAAATTTGTGAAATTGCTCAATCCGTTCAAAGAATATCTCCATTTAAACACATTGACCCTAAAACCTCTTTCGTCCAAAATGCGATTTCAAGAATGGTCGTCACAATTGTCTTCAAGCATCACCATCAGCGATAAAACCTCAGTTGTTAAGTTAAAAGCATTCAACAAAGTCCTTTTGAAAGGCCGTCTTTTAAAAAAGTGCATTTTATAAATCATATTGTTTGCCTAACCAGGGTTGTTAATAAAAATATTGTTTACTACAGTTGTTGACAGCTGTTGAAATAAGTATTCTGTGTGTTTTGTTTTCTTTTTGGACGACACAGGTTTTAGGGTCATTGCGTTTAAATAGTGATGAACGGATTGAGCAATTTCAGTATTTTTTTCATCTAAAAGTAGCCAATGAAATTGTCTTTTCATTCATTATTATTTTTGATGCTACATATCTTTTTTAAATATGAAGTAATTTTTGGGGGGGTCTGGGTTCCGCTTTTTTGACTCACCGTGTATATAAATATATACTTCACAATTGTATATAGGACAGAGAGTTCTATAAAAGAAGCTCATTATCCACTGATGGACTGATCGAGAAGACAAAATAATTTCCTACGATTCATGTTGTAACATAGCTGCTTTACAATAGTTGTTGGTGTTTCTATTCCACGTAATATGAAAACGAAATTGTATTTCTTTTTTTAAATTGTCTTTATCGCTGGTTTTAAGTCGTTTTGAGTACATTTCAAAGTTAACAATTATCATCATAATACAAAATGTACCAAATATTTACACAAAAGAGAAACACTCTTAAAAGTCCACCTGCTGGCTGATAAACAAGTGGCCAATCTTATGATGTATTTTGATGTATGATTTACCCTCTAAAAAACCCCCAAATAGTTGTCTTTTTTATGCTGCTGTGAATATCTTTTTTTGTTGTGTGTTGTTCTGATGTCATATTGCATTTATTCAAAAAATGCTCTAAGATTCCGAGCCTTAAAGGGTCCATGCAATGAATTTTTCCAAAAATTTCTTTGTGAGAACAGTTTGCTCATTGGCTTACTGCCATGTACCGGCACAACAACGAATCACTAAAGAAAAGTGAATTAAAACTACCAAAATATCCAAAATTCTAGCAACTTGTGGTATCGACATAACTGTAACATTCAGATTTTCTGCCAAACATGGCATCACTTTTGGCCATGAATATTAAAATTGGCATTAGTATAAAATAAAAAAAACCACAAAATATCCTGAAAATTGCAGAACGAAAATTGAAAATAAGGTTAAATTGGAAACAGAGGTGCATTTTCAAGGATTCCCCCAAAATATTGCATAACGTGGGTCTCTGACCGAATTTCACAAATGGCCCCCTTTCCCAAATTTGTACATTATTACTGTATTAGTTTTGCGTAAGCTACCATGTCTAACCGACCGTAATAGTGGTATCTGAGATTGTTGCATATAAGATCATTCCGAATATTTTACAAAATAGTCCGATTGCCTGTGGCGCTTGAAACATTCAGTAACTGTATGGTGGTAGTTTAATAAGGGTTATGTGTCTATGTTTTTTAAAGCTGCACGCAAAATATTGATAATATTTAAGCAAACTCTGTATGTGAATAAACGATGTTAAATTTTCCCCGTTACCAATGCAATATACATATAATTTTATAAAGTCCCAAGGACCTTGTTACAAAGGTGTTCCACTGTAATACAGTTTGGCAACTCAATCTGCTTGTATGCACCTTGATGGCAAATTTAGCTCCCCGATTTCAGATTCGGGGTTACATGGGAGACAGATGAGTTGTTGGTATCTTTTACTGATCTTGTGCTCATAATAGTCATCGGTGTTACCGGAAAGATCCTCGCCGTCTGGTGTGTAGACAACAATTTCATTGACCACATCATGGCGTAAATTTGTCTCCACTGTTGTGCTCTTTTCCGCTTTCTCTTCGCGAGGTTGCGGACTGGGCGTGACATCAGAAGACCCATCATTGCCTGCTTTGATATCACTGATCTCTACTGCCTCGTAGTTGTATTCCTGATCAATGTCACTTGTTTCACCTTTCTGATGGGAAGAACGAGGAACATTATAGTACTGGCCATCGCTATCCCGTGCGTCAGGGGTAGGGTGAACAACAACTTCAGTTTCTCCTCTCTGATTTTGATCTGTTGGCGTATGGTTGTCGTTAATAGAACCATCGGCAGAGTCTGTGGTAAGTTGGTCTGCAGTGGCAGATATATCAGTCAAATTTTCGTGGGTAAATGTTTCGTGGGTAGGCCTAAGTGGTTCGGAATCGGTTTCACCAAGAGTGTTGAAAGAAATGTGATTGCGTTTCTTGAAATGCAGTTTCCTAAGCAAACAGTTAAAACAAAGTTGATACCACTTTGGACGTTTTTCCTTAATCTTCACGTTGTACCGCTTTCCGGACTTCGGGTCCAAGACACGAAATTGTGCCCGTTCTGTAATTATTGAACCTGATAGCAGAAAAACAGAAAAAAAAAATTGAAATACATTTTGATGCAGAAGAATATATCCTTGCAGCTATTAGGATATTGATTAGTTTTATGTCTACTTGAGAAACAGAAAACAAGGGTATTAGTAAATTAATTTAACAGTGGAAGTTTCTTTTCACATCTTTAATCTGAATGCATGTATGAATGAAGTACACTAGGGACTTTTTCTGTACCTGCAAGCTTTATTTCATAGCTGTGACAATTTGTTGGGTCCGTATTTACCTTGCAACACTTTGGCGAGGAAACCAGGTACTCTCTGCGTTGCCATCTCTCATCAAGTTTCTTTTTGTACCCGTGTGGGGGATTCGTACTCGTTTAAGTAACAGTCAGTTTCCCGTAGTGATGACTCCTACATGTCACTGGTTATACTGTGGCCGATATGCAGTGGTGGCATTCATCATCGTTCTTCATCGTTCTTTAAAAAAAAAAAAGTTGACACAAAAACAAAGTTGCCACTAACAGTTTTATTTCACAACTGCGACAATTTGTTGGATCCATATTTACCTTGTAACAGGTTGTCGAGGAAACTAGGTACTTTCTGTGCTGCCATATGTCTAATCGAACTTGTTCTGTACGCGAGTGAAAGGTTCCTCCTGGTTTAAGTAACAAACCAGTTTGCCGTTGTGTTGAATTCTTTTTACATGTAGCTGGTTAAACTGTGGTCGGTCTGGAGTACTGACAATCATCATTGGCCTTTATCAAAAATTATTCAACCAGAGGAAGGCGAGGAATAAAAAAGTCCGACGTCACGGGCGACATCGGGAATTTCCAGAATTTCCACCAATAATTGCGCAACCACAGCAGGCCAGCTGTATTCAAACCTCACGATAAAAAAGGGGCCAGATTATAGGGATACTGCGTCCTGGAACAGCCCAAATGGGCTACACAGCGCGCTTTGAACGAAATGATGTTAATCGGAAAGAACATTTAAAAGTAGGATATAAACATCGGACACAACGGGTTACGAATACGTTAAAAACTGGGCGTTTTGTGTTATTCCTGTATTATGCGTGCGAGAACGACTTTCGTGGTCCACTTTTGCGACCCCAAAAGTCGAGCTGTTTGGGTGCTAGTCGTGATTTTATCTGCAAAGTGTTCGCCTTTTGCAGACGTGTAAGAAACCACATTTTGTGCGTTGGTGACTGGTCACCGCTGTTCGCGAGCACGGTAGGGTGTACGTATGTTATAATAGACACACAACGTGTATATCGTACATTGATTGAAAACGACAGGAAAAACGTATTCGCGCTCCGTTGTGTCCGATGTAAACAGCCGGTTTTTTCCCGTATTTTCTTCGGAACGGTAAGACATTTGGTTGGTTTCCTTTCAAAAAGATGCTTGAAATATGATAAGTTAACAATCAAAAACATGACATTTTCTGGGATTTCAGAACCTAGTGCCCCTTTAAGGACACAATAGATAGAATCATCACAAAAAGGACCAGACTGTGTGCACGCATGCGCATATGTAAGGGCAGGATAATGACGGAGAACCAGAGTGATGTTTGGTTAATTTGTATTACATGTTTTACTAATTACAGACAAATTAATCAACGGCCATCGTGGTTCCTAACCTTGCAAAAAAATCAAAAAAAAATCAACCAGAACAAGGCGAGGACAAAAACGTCCGACGTCATGGTAGCAACGGGAACTTCCAACAATAATTGCGCAACTACAGGCCATTGTATTCAAACTTTACCATCCTCCCAGGGACCAGATTACAGTCACTATTGACCCTATCACAGAAAAAAAGACAAAATTGTTTGCACGCATGCGCAAACGTAAGGGCAGGATAATGACGGAATACAAATTACAGACACACATTAATCAACGGACATCGTGGTTCCCTACCCTCAGTTGTAATCTTTATATTTTCCCATTGCCTGTCTGCCCAAATATTACAATTTAAGGGAAATTTCTCCCCTCCAGAAAAAGTAAAACAATCAAATCAATAACAGCCCAGCTAATAATGTTCTACTTGTTCCGTAATTATTATCTGTGTGCATATTTGCTGAGTTCGGGTCTTGGCGGAGGAACATGTTGAATGGCGTGGGGGAATGCATTTTACTGATAGCATACATCGAAATAACTTAGGGTCGTCCACGAAAAGGTACCATCTACTCCCCCCCCCCCACGCCATAAAAAGCATGACTGTGGCAGTAAAGTTCATCATTGTAGTGTAATACAAGAAAACATGCATCACGTTTTTATAATATTGCTGATTTCAGAAAAATATTGCTCATACAATATTTGAGAAAATTAAATAACTCATATTTAAATGTAGGTATTTTGTATTTGATATAAACTTAAGTAAGATTATCAATCAAGTGCTTTCATAGCTATTTGTCTCCACTATTGGATTGTTAAAAATTACTTTACAGGATTTGTCATGCTTTAGAATGCAGAGGGCTTAGACCGATCAGAATTTTTACTGAAATTGGTTTGAGTGCTTCTCACTTTTTTTATTTTGTTCCGATGACAGTTTCCGTCAAGGTAAATACAGCATTTTGTTGTTTTGGTTTAGCGGTAAAGTTCTTATTATTTTGATGAGTAATCGCAAATACCTAAAAAAAAATATACATATAATGATCGTTCTGTAAATCGTGGGTGTGAACTTCCAATGTCATTATTAGCGAAAGGAGTAAAACAAAATGTTGAACCTAACAAATGGCATCCTTCTGTACACTCTCCTTGTAATAGAAACAAGTCTAGATTCTTACCAATTCCAGTAAAGCAGTCTCATATATGACTATTTTGTGAAGAGTTATTGAAATGTATACATGAAGCTCCGCGAGAGTTATGTAAAGTTAAAAAAGTCATCAATGCCTTAATACTTGAAAAAAAATACCACATACATATTGTTATAATTTCCCTGGAATGTTTGAATTCAACACTTGGAAAAGTCCTCTACGTCCTAAACTTAAGTATAAAGCACCAGATTTGTACCTAGCACCATTATACTCCAAGCGAAAATGGAGTAGTAACGATTGGAATTGTTATTTAAATCGAAACAAGAATGACTTCGTGCCATTGTCTGCGGTGCCATTGTCTGCGGTGTCGCAACTATAGTCGGTGGTTCCCGGACATTCCATCAGAAGTAAAATTTGTTAGCAGCTCCGATCAGATCAGAGAAAATTAGGGAGCCGCTTTTATATCGATCTAAGTCAAGACACATACCCTACATGGATATAAACTACCCCGTTAGGTTGAAAAACATTTGGGCAAATATGACATAATTTCAAGCTGACTGCAGATTCGAAAATATAAAAGATTAATTTAGTACACGTCCTCAGCCACATACTGCTTTCTCATTGTTTGCCAGTACCACCTTTTCCATGAAGCCATATTTTGGAAAAAAAAAATCATTTTTTGTCTTGGTCCTTTCAATTTCGTTTTGCTAGTAGATAATCCAAATTTCTGTTTATTCTTGCCAATATACTCATCAGTGAGGTACCTGTTCACTTGTTTTTTATGAAATTGTAATAAAACTTAGTTGAAGTTTGTCCAAAGTTTCTCAAAGTATCACTTGTATTACTTTATTATCTTTTACTTAGGCAATTTCAAGTTGTAGTTAAGTTTCAACTTATTTTCAACTTAAATTTGCCTCAAAGCGTCAACTGTTTTTATCGAAAGTTACAATCATTAATTGTTTGATGTTGCCCATCTGTTATCCTTCAACGGGCTGGGAAACCCCAGGGAAAGTCCCGCCATTGCGAAAGCAAATTTCTGTCATTGTGCGATAAGAATGGGCTTTAACTTCAGTCAACACAGAGAAGTACTGGGTCACAAGTACGTACCAGGTTGTACGTACCTGCTCTCTCAACCTGGTATTGAATCGTATGCATGTTCAATATTGCACACATATGCAAATGAGGAATAGTCTTGCGCCTGGCTGTGCGTTACAACAGCGTATGCGTTCGTATGTGGTGTCTGGGGTAAAAAGAGAGTCAATTCGTCGCGGCGCGAGTTAATAAAACCCGAATTTGTTTACAGATAAAATGTAACAATCTTATCCAGCCAATTGGCAGTTTCACCTTGCATATCAATATGAACAAATTGAAAAGGAAAATATTTTTTCAGAAGTTGTGGACGAAAGAATTACAATGAACGTGAAAACACGCAGTACACGTTGGAGACAACCACACCAAGTACACGATATAAATCATTTCCTTGCAAATTGTGGTACCGACTCAGGATAAAGGAAGCAAGTTCCCATCCCAGGGCTTAATGTTGGAAACGAGGTTTGAAACAGAGTAAGTTTTGGGGACGAGGTTGGGTCTTTGCTATTCTGTGATACGTATGAATTGATAATTTGTACTTTCAAAACAGCGACCCTCAGTGAAGGCACAATCATGCAAGGGATGCATGGTTATATTAAACATGCATCGATATATATTTTTTTCATATCAAGTGATCGTGCACCGCGACATAAGTCGAAATGCCATTCCCACGGGTAACCAAAGGCCAAAGAACCGTTCAATTTCATACAAAGTTCAGTCGTAACGTCTTAAAAACGGACAAAATGTAAAAGGAGAACGAAACCAAATAATTGGCCTATTGTTTTCCGGTCATGATTGCATCAGCACAGGGCCATGCCGGTTTGTCAATATTGCTTAAAAGAAGCGATCTATACTGTTGTAACGATATACACTGTCGTAATTGTTGTCGAAAGTCAGTTTAAGAGCTATTAAAAGGCTGGCCCAAATTACGAATGTCGGTAAATCGGTTTGTAACATGAGAAGCAAAAAGGTTTCGTTTGGAGTTCGTAAGAAAGCTTGTGTTTTACGACAGTTAAAGTTTGTCCACCCTCGCCAACAAAGTACAGGGTAAGTCAAAAAATTATCCGAACCCAAACCCCCAAAATTATATTTCATATTTAAAAAAAACATGTATCAACAAAAATAATAATGACTGGAAAGCCAATTTCATAAGCTACTTTAAGATGAAAAAAATTGTGAAATTGCTCAATCCGTTCAAAGAATATCACCATTTTAAACACAATGACCCTAAAACCTCTTTCGTCCAAAAATGCTATTTCAAGAATAGTCGTCACAATTGTCTTCAAGCATCACCATCAGCGATAAAACCTCAATTTAAAAGCATTCAACAAATTCATTTTGAATTGCCGTCTTTTGAAAAATTGCCTTTTATAAATCATATTCTTTGCCTAACCAGGGTTGTTAATAAAGATATTGTTTACTACAGTTGTTGACAGCTGTTGAAAAAAGTATTCTGTGTGTTTTTCCTTTTTGGACGACACAGGTTTTAGGGTCATTGCGTTTAAATAGTGATATTCTTTGAACAGATTGATATTTCAGTATTATTTTTCATCTAAAAGTAGCTTATGAAATTGGCTTTCCAGTCATTTTTATTTTTGATGCTACATATCTTTTTTAAATATGAAGTAATTTTTTTGGGTTTGGGTTTCGCTTTTTTGACTCACCCTGTATATAAATATTTACTTCACAAATGTATATAGGACAGAGAGTTCTATAAAAGAAGCTCTTTATCCACTGATGGACTGATCGAAAAGACAAAATAATTTTCAACGATTCATGTTGTAACATAGCTGCTTCATATTGGTTATTGGTGTTTCTATTCCACGTAATATGAAAACGAAATTGTATTTCTTTTTAAATTGTCTATATCGCTGGATTTAAGTCGTTTTGAGTACATTTCAAAGTTAACAATTATCATCATAATACAAAATGTACCAAATATTTACACAAAAGAAAAACACTCTTAAAAGTCCACCGGCTGGCTGATAAACAATTGACCAATCTTATGATTATGAAAATAGAAATAGGAAATATGTAACAAAGTAACAAAGTAAACAAAGCTTTTCAGTTCTACTTTGCATTTTGATGTATGATTTACCCTCTAAAATAACCCCCAAAAAGTAAAACCGTAGGAGTTGTCTTTTTATGCTACTGTGAATATATTTTTGTTGTGTGTTGTTCTGATGTCATATTGCATTTATTCAAAACATTTTCTAAGATTCCGAGCCTTAAAGGGTTCATGCAATGAATTTTTCCAAATATTTATTTGTGAGAACAGTTTGCTCATTGGCTTACTGCCATGTGTTGGCACAAAGAAAAGTGAATTAAAACTACCAAAATATCCGAAATTCTGGCAACTTGTGGTATTGACATAACTGTAACATTCAGATTTTCTGCCAAAAATGGCATCACTTTTGGCCATGAATATTGATATTGGCAAAAGTATAAAATTCAAAAAGGCACAAAATATCCTGAAAATTGCAAAACGAAAATTGAAAATAAGGTTAAATTGGAAACAAAAGTGCATTTTCAAGGATTCCCCCAAAATATTACATTACGTTGGTCTCTGACCGAATTTCACAAATAGCCCCCTTTCCAAAATGTGTACATATTACTGTATTAGTTTTGCGTAAGCTACCATGTCTAACCGACCGTAATAGTGGTATCTGAGATTGTTGCTTATAAGTTCATTCCGAATATTTCACAAAATAGTCTGATTGCCTGTGGCGCTCGAAACATTCAGTAACTGTATGGTGGTAGTTTAAGAAGGGTTATGTGTCTATGTTTTTGAAAGCTGCACGCAAAATATTGATAATATTTAAGCAAACTCTGTCTGTGAATAAACAATGATAAATTTTCCCCGTTACCAATGCAATATACATATAATTTTATAAAGTCCCAAGGACCTTGTTACAAAGGTGTTCCACCGTAATACAGTTTGGCAACTCAATCTGCTTGTATGCACCTTGATGGCAAATTTAGCTCCCCGATTTCAGATTCGGGGTTACATGGGCGACAGATGAGTTGTTGGTATCTTTTACTGATCCTGTGCTCATAATAGTCATCGGTGTCACCGGAAAGATCCTTGCCGTCTGGTGTGTAGACAACAATTTCATTGACCACGTCATGGCGTAAATTTGTCTCCACTGTTGCAAGGGCGGATCCAGGGGGGGGGGGGCCAAAGGGGGCCATGGCCCCCCCCCAAAACGAAATCAATTTTTTTTTTTTTTTATGTGACATCGAAATAACGGCAGGCAATGAGTACACCACCATCTTTTCCTCAAAAAAAAAACATTGGTTAAAGTGGTCAGAATTTGCCTCAGATCGCACCACAGAGCATCTAGAATCCAAAAAATTTTCGGGGCCCTTAAGCGGGCCCCGAACCCCACGCCGTAATTTTTTTGACCCACTTTTTGACATAGCAATAAAGGCTGGGCAGTGAGTACACCACCATATTTTCCTCAAAAAAAACATTGGTTAAAGTGGTCAGAAATCGCCTCAGATCACACCACAGAGCATCTAGAATCCAAATTTTTTTCGGGGCCCTTAAGCGGGCCCCGAACCCCACGCCGTAATTTTTTTGACCCACTTTTTGGGGGGAACCAAAAATTTTTTTGGCCCCCTCCAAAATTGTGTTCTGGATCCGCCCTTGCACTGTTGTACTCTTTTCCGCTTTCTCTTCGCGAGGTTGCGGACTGGGCGTGACATCAGAAGACCCATCATTGCCTGCTTTGATATCACTGATCTCTACTGCCTCGTAGTTGTATTCCTGATCAATGTCATTTGTTTCACCTTCCTGATGGGAAGGACGAGGAACATAATAGTACTGGCCGTCGCTATCCCATGCGTCAGGGGTAGGGTGAACAACAACTTCAGTTTCTCCTCTGTGATCTTGATCTGTTGGCGTATGGTTGTCATTAATAGAACCATCGGCAGAGTCGGTGGTAAGTTGGTCTTCAGTCATGGGCGTCGCCAGGATTTTTTCTAGAGGGGGGCAAAAACATTTTTTGACCAAAAATGCTTGTATTTTTCAACACATTTTCGATTTATCAGTTTTAGAGGGGGCAGGGACATTTTGCCCCCCCCCCCCAAACTCATTAAATTTACACCACTTTGTCTTCGCGCCTCTTTTTTTTTTTTTTTTTTTTTTTGCGTCCTTTTTTTTTTTTTTTTTTTTGCTTTTCCAGGGGTTGCCCCCCCCCTCGCGACGCCCATGTCTTCAGTGGCAGATATATCAGTCAAGTTTTCGTTGGTAAATGTTTCACGGGTAGGCCTAAGTGGTTCGGAATCGGTTTCACTAAGAGTGGGCAATAACTGTGATTGCGTTTCTTGAAATGCAGTTGCCTAAGCAAACACTTAAAACAAGGTTGATGGCACTCTGGACGTTTTTCCTTAATCTTCACGTTGTACCGCTTTCCGTACTTCGGGTCCAAGACACGAAATTGTGCCCGTTCTGCAATTACTGAACCTAATAGCAGAAAAACAGAAAAAAAAATGGAAATACATTTTGATGCAGAAGAATATATCCTTGCAGCTATTAGGATATGGATTAATTTATGTCTACTTGAGAAACAGAAAACAAGGGTATTAGTAAATTAATTTAACAGTGGAAGTTTCTTTTCACATCTTTAATCTGAATGCATGTATGAATGAAGTACACTAGGGACTTTTTCTGTACCTGCAAGCTTTATTTCATAGCTGTGACAATTTGTTGGGCCCGTATTTACCTTGTAACACTTGGGCGAGGAAACCAGGTACTCTCTGAGTTGCCATCTCTCATCAAGTTTCTTTCTGTACCCGTGTGGGGATTCGTACTCGTTTAAGTAACAGTCAGTTTCCCGTAGCGATGACTCCTACATGTCACTGGTTAAACTGTGACCGATATGCAGTGGTGGCATTCATCATCGTTCTTCATCGTTCTTTATAAAAAAAAAAAAGTTGACACAAAAACAAAGTTGCCACTAACAGTTTTATTTCACAACTGCGACAATTTGTTGGATCCATATTTACCTTGTAACAGGTTGTCGAGGAAACTAGGTACCTTCTGTGCTGCCATATGTCTAATCGAACTTGTTCTGTACGCGAGTGAAAGGTTCCTCCTGGTTTAAGTAACAAACCAGTTTGCCGTTGTGTTGAATTCTTTTTACATGTAGCTGGTTAAACTGTGGTCGGTCTGGAGTACTGACAATCATCATTGGCCTTTATCAAAAATTATTCAACCAGAGAAAGGCGAGGAATAAAAAAGTCCGACGTCACGGGCGACCTCGGGAATTTCCAGAATTTCCACCAATAATTGCGCAACCACAGCAGGCCAGCTGTATTCAAACCTCACGATAAAAAGGGGCCAGATTATAGGGATACTGCGTCCTGGAACAGCCCAAATGGGCTACACAGCGCGCTTTGAACGAAATGATGTTAATCGGAAAGAACATTTAAAAGTGGGATATAAACATCGGACACAACGGGGTACAAATACGTTAAAAACTGGGCGTTTTGTGTTATTCCTGTATTATGCGTGCGAGAACGACTTTCGTGGTCCACTTTTGCGACCCCAAAAGTCGAGCTGTTTGGGTGCTAGTCGTGATTTTATCTGCAAAGTGTTCGCCTTTTGCAGACGTGTAAGAAACCACATTTTGTGCGTTGGTGATTGGTCACCGCTGTTCGCGAGCACGGTTGGGTGTACGTATGTTATAATAGACACACAACGTGTATATCGTACATTGATTGAAAACGACAGGAAAAACGTATTCGCACTCCGTTGTGTCCGATGTAAACAGCCGGTTTTTTCCCGTATTTTCTTGGGAACGGTAAGACATTTGGTTGGTTTCCTTTCAAAAAGATGCTTAAAATATGATAAGTTAACAATAAAAAACATGACATTTTCTGGGATTTCAGAACCTAGTGCCCCTTTAAGGACACAATAGATAGACCCATCACAAAAAGGACCAGACTGTGTGCACGCATGCGCATATGTAAGGGCAGGATAATGACGGAGAACCAGAGTGATGTTTGGTTAATTTGTATTACATGTTTTACTAATTACAGACAAATTAATCAACGGCCATCGTGGTTCCTAACCTTGCAAAAAAATAAAAATCAACCAGAACAAGGCGAGGACAAAAACGACCGACGTCATGGTGGCAACGGGAACTTCCAACAATAATTGCGCAACTACAGGCCATTGTATTCAAACTTTACCATCCTCCAAGGGACCAGATTAAATTCACTATTGACCCTATCACAGAAAAAAAAGCAAAATTGTTTGCACGCATGCGCAAACGTAAGGGCAGGATAATGACAGAATACAAATTACAGACACAAATTAATCAACGGACATCGTGGTTCCCTACCCTCAGTTGTAATCTTTATAATTTCCCATTGCCTGTCTGCCCAAATATTACAATTTAAGGGAAATTTCTCCCCTCCGGAAAAAGTAAAACAATCAAATCAATAACAGCCCAGCTAATAATGTTCTACTTGTTCCGTAATTATTATCTGTGTGCATATTTGCTGAGTTCAGGTCTTGGGGGAGGAACATGTTGAATGGCGTGGGGGAATGCATTTTACTGATAGCATACATCGAAATAACTTAGGGTCGTCCACGAAAAGGTACCATCAACTCCCCCCCCCCCACGCCATAAAAAGCATGACTGTGGCAGTAAAGTTCCTCATTGTAGTGTAATACAAGAAAACATGCATCACGTTTTTATAATATTGCTGATTTCAGAAAAATATTGCTCATACAATTTTTAAGAAAATTGAATAACTCATATTTAAATATAGGTATTTTGTATTTTAAATAAACTGAAGTAATATTATCAATCAAGTGCTTTCATAGCTATTTGTCTCCACTATTGGATTGTTAAAAAGTACTTTACAGGATTTGTCATGCTTTAGAATGCAGAGGGCTTAGACCGATCAGAATTTTTACTGAAATTGGTTTGAGTTCTTCTCACTTTTTTTATTTTGTTCCGATGACAGTTTCCGCCAAGGTAAATACAGCATTTTGTTGTTTTGGTTTAGCGGTACAGTTCTTATATTTTGAGGAGTAATCGCAAATACCTAAAAAAAAAATACATATAATGAGCGTTCTGTAAATCGTGGGTGTGAACTTCCAATGTCATTATTAGCGAAAGGAGTAAAACAAAAAGTTGAACCTAACAAATGACATCCTTCTGTACACTCTCGTTGTAATAGAAATAAGTCTAGATTCTTACCAATTCCATTAAAGCAGTCTCATACATGACTATTTTGTGAAGAGTTATTGAAATGTATACATGAAGCTCCGCGAGAGTTATGTAAAGTTAAAAAAGTCATCAATGCCTTAATACTTGAAAAAATACCACATACATATTGTTATAATTTCCCTGGAATGTTTGAATTCAACACTTGGAAAAGTCCTCTACGTCCTAAACTTAAGTATAAAGCACCAGATTTGTACCTAGCACCATTATACTCCAAGCAAAAATGGAGTAGTAACGATTGCAATTGTTATTTAAATCGAAACAAGAATGACTTCATGCCAATGTCTGCGGTGTCGCAACAATAGTCGGTGGTTCCCGGTTACCATCAGAAGTAAAATTTGTTAGCAGCTCCGATCAGATCAGAGAAATTTAGGGAGCCGCTTTTATATCAATCTAAGTCAAGACACATACACTACATGGACATAAACTACCCCGTTAGGTTGAAAAACATTTGGGCAAATATGACATAATTTCAAGCTGACTGCAGATTCGAAAAATATAAAAGATTAATTTAGTACACGTCCTCAGCCACATACTGCTTTCTCATTGTTTGCCAGTACCACCTTTTCCATGAAGCCATATTTTGGTAAAAAAATCATTTTTTGTCTTGGTCCTTTCAATTTCGTTTTGCTAGTAGATAATCCAAATTTCTGTTTATTCTTGCCAATATACTCATCAGTGAGGTACCTGTTCACTTGTTTTTTATGAAATTGTAATAAAACTTAGTTGAAGTTTGTCCAAAGTTTCTCAAAGTATCACTTGTATTACTTTATTATCTTTTACTTAGGCAATTTCAAGTTGTAGTTAAGTTTCAACTTATTTTCAACTTAAATTTGCCTCAAAGCGTCAACTGTTTTTATCGAAAGTTACAATCATTAATTGTTTGATGTTGCCCATCTGTTATCCTTCAACGGGCTGGGAAACCCCAGGGAAAGTCCCGCCATTGCGAAAGCAAATTTCTGTCATTGTGCGATAAGAATGGGCTTTAACTTCAGTCAACACAGAGAAGTACTGGGTCACAAGTACGTACCAGGTTGTACGTACCTGCTCTCTCAACCTGGTATTGAATCGTATGCATGTTCAATATTGCACACATATGCAAATGAGGAATAGTCTTGCGCCTGGCTGTGCGTTACAACAGCGTATGCGTTCGTATGTGGTGTCTGGGGTAAAAAGAGAGTCAATTCGTCGCGGCGCGAGTTAAAAAAACCCGAATTTGTTTACAGATAAAATGTAATAATCTTATCCAGCCAATTGGCAGTTTCACCTTGCATATCAATATGAACAAATTGAAAGGAAAACATTTTCAGAAGTTGTGGATGAAAGAATTACAATGAACGTGAAAACACGCAGTACACGTTGGAGTCAACCACACCAAGTACACGATATAAACCAATTCCTTGCAAATTGTGGTACCGACTCAGGATAAAGGAAGCAAGTTCCCACCCCAGGGCTTAATGTTGGAAACGAGGTTTGAAACAGAGTAAGTTTTGGGAACGAGGTTGGGTCTTTGCTATTCTGTGATACGTATGAATTGATAATTTGTACTTTCAAAACAGCGACCCTCAGTGAAGGCACAATCATGCAAGGGATGCATGGTTATATTGAACATACATCGATATATTTATTTCATATCAAGTTATCGTGCACCGCGACACAAGTCGATATGCCTTTCCCACGGGTCACCAAAGGCCAAAGAACCGTTCAATTTCATACAAAGTTCAGTCGTAACGTCTTAAAAACGGACAAAATGAAAAAGGAGAACAAAACTAAATAAATGGCCTTTTGCTTTTCGGTCATGATTGTATCAGCACAGGGCCATGCCGGTTTGTCAATAATGATTAAAAGGAGCGATCTATACTGTTGTAACGATATACACTGTCGTAATTGTAGTCGAAAGTCAGTTTAAGAGCTATTAAAAGGCTTGCCCTAATTACGAATGTCGGTAAATCGGTTTGTAACATGAGAGGCAAAAGGTTTCGTTTGGAGTTCGTAAGAAAGCTTGTGTTTTACGACAGTTAAAGCTTGTCCACCCTCGCCAACAAAGTACAGGGTGAGTCAAAAAATTATCCGAACCCAAACCCCCAAAATTATATTTCATATTTAAAAAAACATGTAGCAACAAAAATAATAATGACTGGAAAGCCAATTTCATAAGCTACTTTAAGATGAAAAAAATTGTGAAATTGCTCAATCCGTTCAAAGAATATCACCATTTTAAACACAATGACCCTAAAACCTCTTTCGTCCAAAAATGCTATTTCAAGAATAGTCGTCACAATTGTCTTCAAGTATCACCATCAGCGATAAAACCTCAATTTAAAAGTTAAAAGCATTCAACAAAGTCATTTTAAAAGGCCGTCTTTTGAAAAATTGCATTTTATAAATCATATTCTTTGCCTAACCAGGGCCGTTGTAAATAAAGATATTGTTTACTACGGTTGTTGACAGCAAATGAAAAAAGTATTCTGTGTGTTTTTCCTTTTTGGACGACACAGGTTTTAGGGTCATTGCGTTTAAATAGTGATATTCTTTGAACAGATTGAGCAATTTCAGTATTAATTTTCATCTAAAAGTAGCTTATGAAATTGGCTTTCCAGTCATTATTATTTTTGATGCTACATGTCTTTTTTAAATATGAAGTAATTTTTTTGGTTTCGGGTTCCGCTTTTTTGACTCAGAGAGTTCTATAAAAGAAGCTCATTATCCACTGATGGACTGATCGAAAAGACAAAATAATTTTCAACGATTCATGTTGTAACATAGCTGCTTCATATTGGTTATTGGTGTTTCTATTCCACGTAATATGAAAACGAAATTGTATTTCTTTTTTAGATTGCCTTTATCGCTGGTTTTAAGTCGTTTTGAGTACATTTCAAAGTTAACACTTATCATCATAATACAAAATGTACCAAATATTTACACAAAAGAAAAACACTCTTAAAAGTCCACCTGCTGGCTGATAAACAAGTGGCCAGTCTTATGATTATGAAAATAGAAATAGGAAATATGTCACAAAGTAACAAAGTAAACAAAGCTTTTCAGTTCTACTTTGCATTTCGATGTATGATTTACCCTCTAAAATAACCCCCAAATAGTAAAACCGTAGGAGATGTCTTTTTTATGCTACTGTGAATATCTTTTTTTGTTGTGTGTTGTTCTGATGTCATATTGCATTTATTCAAAACATTCTCTAAGATTCCGAGCCTTAAAGGGTCCATGCAATGAATTTTTCCAAACATTTTTTGTGAGAACAGTTTGCTCATTGGCTTACTGCCATGTACCAGCACAAAGAAAAGTGAATTAAAACTACCAAAATATCCAAAACTCTGGCAACTTGTGGTATTGACATAACTGTAACATTCAGATTTTCTGCCAAAAATGGCATCACTTTTGGCCATGAATATTGAAATTGGCATTAGTATAAAATTCAAAAAGGCACAAAATATCCTGAAAATTGCAAAACGAAAATCGAAATTGGCATTAGTATAAAATTCAAAAAGGCACAAAATATCCTGAAAATTGCAAAACGAAAATTGAAAATAAGGTTAAATTGGAAACAAAAGTGCATTTTCAAGGATTCCCCCAAAATATTACATTACGTGGGTCTCTGACCGAATTTCACAAATAGCCCCCTTTCCCAAATTTGTACATATTACTGTATTAGTTTTGCGTAAGCTACCATGTCTAACCGACCGTAATAGTGGTATCTGAGATTGTTGCTTATAAGTTCATTCCGAATATTTCACAAGATAGTCTGATTGCCTGTGGCGCTCGAAACATTCAGTAACTGTATGGTGGTAGTTTAATAAGGGTTATGTGTCTATGTTTTTGAAAGCTGCACGCAAAATACTGATAATAATTAAGCAAACTCTGTCTGTGAATAAACAATGATAAATATTCCCCGTTACCAATGCGATATACATATCATCTTATAAAGTCCCAAGGACCTTGTTACAAAGGTGTTCCACCGTAATACAGTTTGGCAACTCAATCTGCTTGTATGCACCTTGATGGCAAATTTAGCTCCCCGATTTCAGATTCGGGGTTACATGGGCGACAGATGAGTTGTTGGTATCTTTTACTGATCTTGTGTTCATAATAGTCATCGGCGTTACCGGAAAGATCCTCGCCGTCTGGTGTGTAGACAACAATTTCATTGACCACGTCATGGCGTAAATTTGTCTCCACTGTTGTGCTCTTTTCCGCTTTCTCTTCGCGAGGTTGCGGACTGGGCGTGACATCAGAAGACCCATCACTGCCTGCTTTGATATCACTGATCTCTACTGCCTCGTAGTTGTATTCCTGATCAATGTCACTTGTTTCACCTTCCTGATGGGAAGGACGAGGAACATCATACCACTGGCCGTCGCTATCACATGCGTCAGGGGTAGGGTGAACAACAACTTCAGTTTCTCCTCTCTGATCTTGATCTGTTGGCGTATGGTTGTCGTTAATAGAACCATCGGCAGAGTCTGTGGTAAGTTGGTCTTCAATGGCAGATATATCAGTCAAATTTTCGTGGGTAGGCCTAAGTGGTTCGGAATCGGTTTCACCAAGAGTGTGGCAAGAACTGTGATTGCGTTTCTTGAAATGCAGTTTCCTAAGCAAACAGTTAAAACAAAGTTGATACCACTTTGGACGTTTTTCCTTAATCTTCACATTGTACCGCTTTCCGGACTTTGGGTCCAAAACACGAAATTTTGCCCGTGCTTCAATCACTGTACCTAAAAGCAATCAACAGAAAAAGCAAGAAAGTTTCGTTTTATAGCATAAACACGTAAATAAATGTATAAATGAATGAACAAAAAATGTTCTGTAGGCTACCCGAAAGATGCCACCAAGTTTTATTTTACAACTCTATATTTGTTGTGTCAATATTTACCTTGAATCAGGTTGTCGAGAAAACCAGGTACTTCCTGCGCGGCCATGTCTCATGAAGTTTCTCTTTGTACACGAGTGAAGGATCCTTACTCGTTTAAGTAACCGTCAGTTCGCCGAAGTACTGACGTCTATGTCGCTGGTTAAACTGTGTCTGATCTACAGTGCTGGCATTCATAATCGGTCCTGGGAATTTCCAACAATAAATGCGCAACTACAGCAGGGCATTGAATTCAAACCTCAAGATCCTCCCAGGGACGAGATTAAGGTCACAACTGACCCTATCACAAAAAAGACACAGTTGTGTGCACGCATGCGCAATCGTAAGGGCAGGAAATTGATTTTTTTTTTTACAGTCGATTAGGGTGTTGTGTGAAATTTTGACTCTTTGAAATACGGACTCATTGGTTGTAATGCTCATGCCTAAGTTTAGATGATAAAGAGAGCGACAGGTCACATGAGAGGTTTGGTTTACAAGAGACCAAAATTTATAGGAGGCCACATTTAATATGACACTGCCCCAGTTGGATACGGTTGACCTAGCACTTCCATTTTGACAATACATTCAATAAAAGTGTTTCGGTGGCCTGGTACGCAGAGACCGCATTGATATTCAAAACTACATCTTTGAAAATTAAATTTGTATTCGTAGTTGTAGTTCATTGTGCATTGCATTGTGCATTGCAGTCGAATTATAAATGATTTCTGGTTTGTGATCAATTGACGGCGAATTCAAGGTTCTGATTTGAGTTTAAGACCTCAAGTTTGACCAGTAAAGTTATAAAATAATGGAGGGCAGATCCGTATTTGGGCTGACGACAAGGGACGTCGAAGATTCACTGATTTGTCGGGTGTGCTCTGAGAAGTACGACGATAGCTGCAGAGCGGCCAAATTTCTGCGTTGTCTACACGGTGTCTGCGTCGCTTGTCTCGGCAAGAGTGTACCGGGCGATGAGCAGGTGTTCAAATGCCCGGTCTGTCAGCAGAATACTCCCTTCCCAGAGAGTGGAGTGCAGGGCTTGCCAGATAATTTCATTGTGAAGACACTGAGAGATTCTCAGTGTGTGTTTGAAAGTGATCGCAAACAGTCTCGCAGCTTTATTTGTGGATCCTGCAAAGACGGCGGTCCGGCAGTGAGCTACTGCTCTGACGGGGACTGCGCAAATTTTCTCTGTGAGAATTGCAAGGAAGCTCACGGCCGGTTACGGATCTACGATGGTCATGTCGTCATTCCGTTGGAACAGTTGGAAAATCAGCCGGAGATTTTTATCTCGCGTAAAAAACCTCGTTGCAGCCAGCATCACAAGCAAGCCTTAACCTTGTTCTGCAACGAGGAGGGTTGCCAACTGCCCATATGCCTGGTGTGTGTGCCGACGGCCCACCAGGGCCATGGTGTCGTCGATCTAGATCAGAAATCAATTGAGGTGAAGAAGGAGTTGCAGATTCTTGCTCAGGCGGCGAGAAAGAAGAAGGGCACAGTCGAAGAAATTTCCGGGAGAATAAGCACCGAGATAAATCAGACGAGTTCTCGGTTTGAGGAGATGGCGTCTGCACTTTCCGAAATGTTCGAAGGCCTCCAACGCCAGCTCAAGACCGCGCATGAAGCAGTCAACGACGCTTTGAAGAAACAGTGTTTGGACAGAACAGCTCAACTAAAGTACCCAACCAATTTCGCAGAGTTGCTTGTCTCTCAGTGCGATTCCGCATGCCAGTTCGCCGAGACAGCTTGCGTTATTGGTAACCCTGTCGACCTTCTGAAGACCAGTGAACAGATCATCTCGAGACTCCAAGAACTTATCGCCCTCGATGTTGATCGGTCTCTGCCGTTCCACCCAGCCGATGAGGCTTTTCTTTCCTTTACTGAAAACCATGACCAAGTATTGTCTGACATTGAGAAACTCATTCCCATCCTAGGACAGTTTAACACATCCATCGCGGACCCAACGCTGACCCAAGGGTTCAAAGTTACTTTCCCTGGGAGTGATGAGTCATCTTTGGTCCTCAATGCCACGCACAGAGTCCGTATTTGTGCTCTTCATCCATCTCGCCAACCCTTAGATCGCCTTGGTGGGGAACTACATGCGTACTTGCTCTCACCTGATGGTAGCAGCCTCGAGTGCAAACACGGTGAGCAATGCGGTGACTTTTACGAGTTACAGTTCCGGCCGTTGGTAGCAGGACCTCATCAGCTGAACATCAGCGTGTCTGGAGTGCCTATCACCAGCAGTCCGTTTCCAGTTGTTGTTGTCGACAACCCGTCCGGTGATGGCCAAGCTGAGCAATCGCAAGACGAGGTCTGCAGTGACTTGACATGGACGGACGCATTCGTCCATAGCGAGCACACAATCATCGTCAAGTTCAAAGCCCCTGAACATCGTCTTCCACGGGTTAGCAACTTGAGTGCCCAGTTTTCCATGTCTCGGTACCAAGACCAAGAAGACAAACGTTTATACGCGATTGATGAACCGCAGATTGTGGAAACCGACGACAGTCAAACCTTCCGTATTGTCTACACACCACCGGATGCCGGTGAGCTACGTATGTCTGTCTTCGTGGACGGTCAGCCCATCGCCAACAGTCCCTTTGTCATCAACGTTGACCCATTGCATCCAGACTCTACCGCAGTGTCCACACATCAGCTGGGAAAATGCCCACTTAACACCGCTGTCTTGAACATGCCATACACAATCTCACTCCAAACATACGATGGTTTTGGTCAGCAGCTCACAAACGGAGGCTATGATGTTAAAGCTGCGATTTCTACTTCGAGTTCTGAAGAAGTTCTGTTGCCTGATGACATCATCGATAGCCAAGATGGCAGGTAAGAAAGTAATCAAAAACCTTGCCTTGTTATGTTTACTATTTATGTCTGTATGTGTTTCTGGGTCTTCATGTTTCATTTCACTATTCGGCACCCATTGTTTGTCATTGCTTCTAGGTACAAAATAACCTTCACACCTCGTTCAGTTAAGCTACATTCTGTGACCATAAGCATCTGCGGGTACCCAGTCAAATCGCCAATTGAGATTTCCGTTTTGTACGGCCTACCGTTTGAAAATCCTTCTAGTGGCTACGAAAAACCGACGGGAATGGACGTGGATAACAAAAGGTGTGTCAAGAGGTTATTGCGTTCTTAAAAATATATATACCACAATTTGTTTCATGCTCTGAAATTCTTGGTACTCTTTGTAAGTACCCAATTGTAGTGTATGTTTATATCATCATTTTACTGGACATGTTTTGAAAGCAAAATATGTGAAAGGTGACTTTGATGGACGGGTCCAGAAGATCTAATTCTTGCAAAAACAACAAGAGGAAATAAAGGTACCAAGGCACCAATGATTGATTATTCCACGTCATTTTCACAAATTAAAACATTATAAAACATGTGTTTTCTCTGCAGCAAAACTGTCTACGTTGTAGACAGCCGTCATGCCTGCAAACTCTACGTGTATGACATCTACGGCAGGTGCACAAGCGAGCTACCATTCGAGAAGAGCACCCTGCCCAACAAATCCTGTCAGATCGGCGTTAACGAGGCAGGACAACTGGTATTGCTGATTTTCCATCTGAGACGTGTCATAACGTGCAGCACTGATGGAGAGATTGAAGACAGGTTGGTCTGATATTGTATCTGCGGTTTTAAACGATTTATATTTTCTTATCAAAATCGTCAACAAGAATTAAACATATATTGAAATTGTTTGACTATTACATTTGTGTTCCCGCTGTTTAATTGATATTTGATATATTGTTTATCGTTCGACTCGAGCTTTGTTTACCAGTAACTTGGATATTCATTCTTACATTCTGATTCAGTTGGGAATGCGCAGCTGAAAATAAAACACCAGCCAATCTTACTCTGTCCAAAGAGGGCCAGGTGATCGTTGGTGACAGCCAATCACAGGAGTTGTTCATCTACGGGCCAAAGGGCGAAGTCAGGGGTCGGATTTTGCTCCAGGATGGTTCCCTCGAGGTCGGAATGAACAATGTCTCTGTGGACCGCAATCTGAATATCCTTGTGGCGACCCACTGCCCTCCTTACGACATTCTGCGGTACAGCATGACTGGAAACGCGTCCTCGAGGCTGGTCTCTCCTGCTCAAAACTCCCAGCTGGCCGCGGCTTCGACTCCAGAGGGCGCTCTGATCGTCTCCGTGCCACGAGGTATCCTGGTCTTGGAGTTCAGCCACGATCTCATGGAGGTGGCTGTGGTCAAGGAGTTCCAAATCGACGACATCTACACCAAGCTAGCGGTGGTCAATGACGGGTGCTTCGTGGCCTTTGATCCGGGGGCGAAACACCTGACGAAATACAGCTACAAGCCTTACATAAAAAAACACCGCTGGTCTAACCCACAGTCCCCGTGGACAACCCAAACAGCAATGCGCGAAGTTTCTCCCACCACTTTGTCCCCAGAAAAGCCCCTTCCTTCACCACGCCAAACCACGTCTGAATCAAATTCATCCGGAACTGGTGAAAAGACCTCCCCGATTGCGGAATAGGAATTTCATAAGGAATTTGTCAGCAGGGATATGTTTTTCTTAATGAAAACACGGCTTTATTTGTTTCTGTACTACAGACTAACACTGGTTTGAATTATTAAAACTAAAAAGTACATCTTAGTTTTGTAAATATAGCTACGAAACATGGATAAAGTCTCGCTTTAATAAGACAAGTTTGTACTGAATTGCACGTGACGGATGTGGTGCATTTATCAGATTTTTAAAAAGTAAATTTCTATCTTTTGTGATTTATTTCGAAAAATATCAAGCAAACAATTTTAGGGTCCGAATCAATTCCTATGCAGGAAGAGTCCCGAACTAGAGTTAAGTGGAATCATTCACTTTGTCCAAAGGAAGGTCTGCATTTGTTCCGGACATTTATTCTGGGAAAATTTTCATCAGCTAATGATTGACTCAAGTTGTTAAGTATCCCGCAATTTAGACCCGATACGTACAATGTTCTCAACTTGTCCGGAACTCGTCCCGCATATGAATTGAGACGGGTCATTTTGTAGATCAGTGCTAAAATCATGTACAGTAACACTTTAGTTGTTGTGGTGGTTAGTTTAAGTATAATTTATAGTAAAATGTATTGATCCTATCACTAGGCCGCAGTGTGTCTCCCATCCTTTAGAAACGTGTTCATGAATAGTCTAGAACATTTTGGACGATCAGTATGAACTTTTGTAATTTTTTTCAAACAATCATCATCGCCTGTCAACATAAAATCATTGTCATATCTATGACGAAATACTGAATAGAACTGAATTAACATTGCAACTGAATTAAAAAGAACATTGGTCTTCATCAATTTGGAATTTATTTTTAGATATAAATGTATCGATTAATGAAGGTTGGGCGGTCAAAACTTAGAGAAAGAAATAAGTTTGCTTGTCAGAACTGTTATTATATCCAATTTAAGGTTAAAAACAAAACATTACCAAGTGGATAAATACAGCAAGGCATTTCGGGCATCCGTGATGACCGTCATCGACGCCAAAAAAATCTTAAATTTCTCAAAGATAACATATGTTCTGTATTTTTGGCATTATTTTGAGTTTAGTCTGTTGACCAGCAAAAGAGGCCCATTGGAAAGTTATTAGAGTGTGCAAATACCGGCAATCGTGGACCTAAGACGTAATGGTCAGAAAACAAACAATATGTCCATGATTGAAATTTGCGTGCAAAACCAATGAGAGCTGCTGCTAACAAAGGAATAAGGATTAGGGACAATATGGGGCTCCACGATTGCCAGTGTTTAGAAACAAAATGTGTGTGTGGGTGCGTTTGTTCATGGTGTAAATCGAGGACACGTGCAACATCATCGGTGAATCGAGGATGAAAACCGAATCGAGGACTCCTCGGTTGGAAAACGTGTACAAAACCAATGAGAGCTTTTGCGAAAAAAAGTTATAATACAAACAAAGCAAAAGGGAAGAGGAACTAAAGAAAATCATCGAATTACACCATAAACAAACGTGGTTGTACATGTACGGTAGACAATATAACAGTACAATTCAAAAAGAAGTCTTTAGAAATCACAATTTGAACAAACTAAGATTCCAATTTGAACAAACTAAGGGGAACAAGCAGTCTTCCCGCAATTATATTGTAAGGTTTTGCGTGTTTATGTTGTTCGTCGGACACGCAGTTGAAATATCATTGTGTAATTGAGGACAGAAGTCAAATCGAGAACGTCCTCGATACTAAAACCTGTACAAACCAATAGTTGTTGTTGCTAAATAAAAAAATAAACAAAAATGAAGGATGTGTGGTGGTTATGTGTGTGGTTATACAGCAAGCCCCCATGCAAAACCAATCAGTCATTGAATGCCACCCTTGATTTGAATTTGAAGTGCCTTCTCAAATGTGGCCAAATGTCACAAAATGAGTAACAAGGACAAGAACCATGATGTTAGTTTTCACATGGAGTAGAGGGCACATAATGATCCTCACTGCATTATAACCAAAATAATTATATAAATATATTTTGTAGGCGAACAGGTTGTTGCTGTTGATGTTCATTGAGTGAGATTTTATTTTGGCTTTTCACTCTTAAGTTACTTCGGTGACTTGTGCCTCATTCTGTCTGATTTTACACAAGTTCACAATACGGTAAAAAAAAAGAGATTGCTCCTTTGGACATAAAAGCAAAAGCGTCCAGGCAATGGAATGCATCCGCCGTTTTATGAGAAAATAAGGCTGCCTCCTTTCCTTAAAACAAACAACCGGACGTCGGCTAATTAAGATTCATAATTTATTGATTATTTTATTTCTATTTTTTATTTAAGAAATCCCCTAACACTTTTGATCAGGTATCCAAAGCCTAGATATCCCACTGGACAGAAGAACCTCCCCCCCCCCCAATATTTAATTGAAAAACTGCAAAATACCAATGCCCGGCGACTGCGTACAAATACTGTGATCGGTTCCTGCGTTGCATTCAATTCTTTATGTGACTGTATGGAAGGTGAGCACCGTGTACAAGAATATGGCGACACATTACATGGCGTATTGACTGTGACCGCGGTGCTGTGATAATATGGAAATCCCCTTGCGTTCCCATAACATTCCTTTCCACACGCACAAACGTTCCTTTGAAGGCATTGAACTAGTTACTTTGTTGTCCTGAAAGTAGCTTTATGCAAATCTAGTTAATTTCAATACAGGTCACACGGAGTCAAGGAGATAGACTGGCAACCCAAGCACAGCCAGAAACGTGAACGGATGTTAATCAACAGAGTCGCTATGGGTATGTATCAACATCACACACGAGAACAGGTATGGACGGACCACACCACTCATTCTGCAGATCGGTTTTTATGGAGCTTTATGAACAGCGCCATTACACCAGGGGTTATAAACCAGATCGGGTCGGCGGACAAAAGTCTGGGTTTGAGGTTAGAACAGACGTGAGTTTCAGCTAGAAGCATTCTGTAAATTTTTTGTTCAATTTGACTCGCATAAAAACAGGCCAAAAACGGATTAAATAGACTTGTTCAATGCCAGCCAAGCACTTATTTAGTCCCATTCATATTTACCCAGCCTATGCGAACATTATTCAATTTTCGGACCAACGTACCCTCTCTAATGGAATGCTCTGCTCTAACGAAACTTGGGACTTTCGAACCTTCGGACTATCGATCCTTCGGACTATCGGGCTGCAACCAATCAGTCTATACCCTATGCAAATCCTAGACTATTGTTACGAACACATCCCCCTAGATACCTCAAAATAACTCCTGAGACTCTGGTACAATGGAGCGGGGGGGGGGGGGGAGTTCCCTCCATTTCATGGAGGGCGTCATGTAGATCAATGATAATTTTTTTAGAAACTCAAAATCTCAGTGGGGGGGGGGGGGGGCGACTGGGGGGGCAACAAGGTTTCATGGGGGGCTGTCACGCCCCCTCCCCCCCCCCCCCCGTGGCTACGCCACTGCCGACCAGCGTTGGAAAAATACAGTTTTTCTTGAAAATGTCAGCACACCAGGAGCCACAACTTTACAGGGCGATTTAGACTATTATTTCAATTTCCCTTTAGGCCCCCCAAATAAGTCTCCGGTTTCTGGTATGGAGCTTGTCCAAAAAGTGGTGCGGCGACGCGGCTTTTTTTTTTTTTTACCTGACTTTTTTGCTTCAAATGTCGGCTGATGACTACAAATGGTGCCCGACTAAACTTAGTGCAAATATATGGCAGTACAGAGAGGCCACATAAAGCTTATTCTCGATCATAACCCCATCTAAAAACACGTTAAAATTGCGCAGCAGCAGGATTCCAGTCAAACCAGTGAGTTTGGCGGTTTTGAGACATCATCTTTCATTGAAAAAAAAACGTTTTCATTTTGCCGACGCGCATGGCCACGGCGACGCGCGCGCATACCAGAAACCGGAGACTTTTTTTTTGGCCTTAACCCTGCGCAGCGTTTACAAAAAAACTTTGCAACAACTCGTCAACTGCTGCCCTTTGGGCAGCAGGTACTTTCCCACACTACCCAAGACCCTATTCATAGCAATACAACAAAAAGCCACGTGCCAGACAGTGTCCAGACAGTTGCCAGACAGTGCGCTGGAAAGATAATTGACTGGCGGTTGTGGTATGCAGTTATGAAGGGAGATGACTGTGTCAAGTTACAGGTCTTTGTTGATGTTTCAATGAGACTTGGCAGGAGGCCTGGTCGAAAGTTTGTTGACACCGCCTGGGTGTAGCCCTGGCGGCAAAGTTCATTGAACCAGCTGATTTGGCAAGAGTTGAATGAGGATTAGATAGGAGGTGAACGTTATTGGCCCTAAAAAAATTCGGTTACCTGGGGACCAAAGGGCAGCAGGTTACTCTGCGCAGGGTTAAGTATTTCCGATTCAGTAAATTAGGGGGAAGAGACAGATCTCGTCATGTTGAATGGCGTGGGGAAATGCATGGTAACTGATTGCATACAACCTTACCTTAGGGTCGTCCACGAAAAGGTACCATCAACTCTTCCCAGCCCTCCCCCCGTGAAAAGCATAACTGTGACAGTGAACTTTATCATTGTAGAGTAATAAACGAAAACATGTATTACGTTTTTTATAATATTGCTGATTTCAAAAAACAAAAAATGCTCATACAATATTTGAGAAAATTAAATCACTCATATCTATAGATAGTGTAACGTGACAGAGGGCGCTTTTGCGTGGAGCGCTGTAGCTAAAATTAGCGCATATACTTTTAGTGCATAGCAGTGGGCTAGGCGCGCGCAGCGCTTAGGCTCCGCCTCGCGCGTTCGCCATTGGGCAGTGGGGTCACCGCTCGGTGACGTGCAGCACGCGCGCGCAGGCGCATATGGGCCAGCGGCCGGCTCGGTAGGCTATATAAGGCGCGCAGAAAAGCGAAATCGGGGACCTGATTTCTGGTTCGAAACGCCGGCACTTGCGGGCGTGTGGTAAGGCATTATACCTCCTGTACTTAGGTGGTAGGGCTGTTGGGCGGTATTGTGACGGGTCGGTTACGGTTCCTCGAGCTGGTGCTGGGTTGCTGCGGGATCAATTGTCCCTTCTTGGGGGCGTGGTTTCGTTGTGATCTTGGCTCCGCGAGTAGGGGCTGGTGGTGCGTTCGATCGAGATAACTGACTCCGGCACGGTCTGCCTATACGGACCTGCGTGCGCTAGGCTAATAGGAAACAATAGGTACATTGCTAATACTGCGCGCTGTGGATGTGAGCGGGTAAGTTAAGGGGCCTGATTGTGGTGCGGTCCGAGTCGTCCCTTATAGGGACTTGCGTAATATCTGGCCCTAGACTTGCATTAGTCTCACGCATATTGCGCTTGCGAAGGAACTTGGAACTCCCCCCTCACTGGATTATCGTACACTGCTTTTATCCCGTAGTTCATTGCACCCCCTGTATATAAGTGTTGCATTTCACAGCGCCCTCTGTTGATCTCTTACTGTTCAATTCTTGGATCGGAGTGGGCCTTTTTGTGATTCCAAGAGGAAAGTGAATAAAACAGTGGTTATTATTTCTTGGTAAATGAAACTGGTGTCACAAGGCTGTTCATTGGTTCTCCCTCTCAGTTACGTCGTTAAGGATTAGGCCAATCAGATTAAAGCGCGCTGCCCAGTCACATAAAAACAACTAGCTTTCCGACCGGGACGGTATATTTCCATCCCAACGGACTCGTCTCTAGCCGCTCAGGGACTTTCCGGTACGTGCCGTCCGCGCCACGCCTGTGGAGAGGGCGCCCTCTTTCGAGCACCGCTCCACGCTAAGGGCGTGACGTCACAAATTGGTGTCAGAAGTGGGATTCAGTCGTGATAGCTTTGTTGTGATCAACTTTCCGGGTACAGGTTTCGAGTATTATTTCCTGCATTGTGATTGGTCGATGTTGTGTATGTATACAACAATACTCTGGGTTGCAGCTTCATTGGCTGTAGTGTGTATATTGCTTCTCATCATTTTCTTTTGTTACGTGTGGCTTATTCAACGAAGAGATAGGAGCTATTTCCGTTGGGTGCGATCTGCAAGATTTGATCTGCCGGTTGAGATCGAGTTTGAAACAACAGTATGAGTGCAAATGGTAGTCATGTTGAGGGGGATCTGCACAGATCCAAGATGGAGGTCCAGTTGTTGCAGTGGGAGAAAGCTCAACAATTGGACAGAATTGCAAAGTTAGAGGCAGCTTTACAAGAAGCTACAACAGCTGTAACGAGCCCAATTGGTGGCGCTCGTGGTGGTGCGCCAGAGTCTCGTGGTAGTGCGCATGACGGAGTTGATTCGGATATTGTATTCCGGCTCCCTGGCCAGGGATTGGCTGAGAATGGGGAAGAGACGTCAGGGTA